GAACTTTTGTTCTCTTTAAATAAATTTTTTTAAAATTCTAAATTGATAATTCAAAACTAACAGCATAATATTAAAAAAACAAATATTAAAAATATCTTCTTAGATTACAGCGATAAGCAGAATAGAACCCCACCTAAACTAAAAGTAAAAGGAACAAAATCAATAGTTTTGCCTCAGTCAGTTTTCCTCTGTAATAAAACATAAAATTACTAGTCATGTCCTCAATACTATGAAACTATATTTATTTGTCTTGAAGAAAATTCTGCTATACTATACTATCCATAGCATTATTGAAATTGATATCAGCAGAGTTTAGTGCAGACATTCTAAATGAACAGCCTTTCCGATATACAATCTTTTCAGTTCCTGGATGGTTCGTTTCCTTGACAAGACTTTACAAGCGGAGCACACCACTCTTTGTCAGCAGGACAATGAACAAGACATAAAATTTCGCGAATGAAAATTTTAATATAATTTATTACAAGTTAATCCAAACTAATATAATATAATCTCATTAAAAAAGCACTTTACCAATTTGAAAACACTATAAGAAAGAAAAAGGGCTCACTTCTATGTTGTTGCAATACAGAGACTTTTTTTTTTGGTCTGTTTATTTCAATGATGGTTAGCAACTTAGCTTTCAACAACTCCTGTCAGAAATGTGCAACTCTGTGCAGCGCGCTCCGTAAAGAGGTCAACCCAGTCGGCTAATTACAAACTGGCTAGCGTGCAGAGAAGCACCCATGAACAACACTCCATCTCCTTTACAATAGCAATTGACACAGTTCCCCACTTAAAGCAGATAAAGCAGCGTTCTGAATAGCGCTATGAAGAATGTTTGATTAAGATCGGAAATTGTAGAAGCTAACCTTGTTCAATGCGTGTGTTAAGGGAAGACCCGGGTCGGTGATCCAAGGCAATATCAATACAATTTTTCAAACTATCCAACTTTTGTTTTTTGCAGAAAAACATCCTTTGACATCTGTTCTATCGAGTCAAAATGAAGAAACTGTTGAAAAAACACCCTAAATGACCTAAAAGAGTGTTTGAAAAGTGCAAATTGCTTTAAAAATCCTTTTAAAAATCCCTGTTTTTTCTGTTTTTCTCAAAATTTACTTTTTGACATATGTGACCTCCTGGGTGCAAGGAGTTTTCAAAAAGTACAGATGCTAGAAGCTTCAAATTTGGTGTACAGGTGCTTTAAGATCAATTCTAGGGATCTATGAAAGGGAATTGGGAAATATTGGTAACTTAAGGAAATATTCAATTTTTTTGTAATATGTACCCCGAAATTTCGTCAACTGACTCTAGGGGGTCCACTGACTTTGGGCTCCCTTTTTTAGTTTTAAAGATAGGTCAAAATCCTTTCATAGATCCCCAGTTCATATAGGTTTGTACTTGTGTGCCAAATTTCAGGCTGATAATTCAATATTTACTATGAAATTCTTCTGCACTAAGAAACTGGTTTGAAAATCCAAGATGGCCACCACAGAGACCCATTTTTTTAGAAAAATTCAACAAATTCACCCTTAGTACATCCTATTTACCTATGAACTTCTTGCACAATTACTTTAAATTGAATAAAAGTCATTCGTTTAGAAAATTTTTCCAGGAGTGTATGTCTCTCCTTAAGTACTGTATTGTATTATTATCTAATTCAATTCTAGACTAGATCTCTGTATGGAACAGCTTTATTGGTACAGCTCATCAATTGTTTCAAAGTGATCAAACTAACACAATGTGCATGAAAATGTTTTTAGTGGAAATTAAATGACCATGTCCTTCAAGGGTTGTCTGTATGTGGTATGTACATGTATGTGTGTGTGTGAGTGTGTGTGTTTGTGTGTGTGTGTGTCGTGTGTGTGTGTGAGTGTGTGTGTGTGTGTGTGTGTGTGTGTGTGTGTGTGTGTGTGTGTGTGTGTATGTGTGTGTGTGATGTGGGAAAGCAAAGAAGAAAGGTATAAATGGAATATATGCACTATAATTATAATATTCAGTTTCCAGTGACCATAATTTGATATCTATCATCATGTTATAATATCAATATCTGGCAACGGCGAGGGAGAGAGACAAAAGGAATGAGAGAGAGAGAGAGAGAGAGAGAGAGAGCAAATTGCGATAATGTGCCATGTAAACGTAAGGCTAGATCCAATGCGCATTAATAATCTAATAATACACGTACATAAACACGCTGTTGGGTCCACCAAAGTATCTGGCCGGCGAAAATAAATTTTTAATGGCCTCCATTTTTAATACAAAAGAGGCAGAAAAATATTACTGGCTAATGTGGTAGGGTTCGCTTAGCCTATAGACATATATAGATTTTCTAGATCTAGATCTAGAATTCTAGACTACTAAATATCTAGATCTAGATCTAGATCTAGAGTTAGATATCTAGATCTATGGCAACCTTTGTTTTAGCAATCACTTCTGTTTCTTATGTGTAAACAAACGGGAAGGCAATTTCCAAAGAGCCCCGAGAGTCAGGGCGCAGATTTGTATAGACTCTACTCTAGAATCTAGAATCTAGACCTAGATCTAGATATAGATTCTAGGCCTAGACCTATATACTATATATATCTAGATATATATCTATCTACAGTCTACTATCTAGATTCTAGATCTAGATATAGATCTCGATTCTAGATCTAACCGAGATTCTGCACTTCTTTTAATTCATTATTATCATTATTGTTGTTGCTCAAGATCCTTTCTAGAATCTACATAAAATACATACGTGAACAGCATCCCTCAACTTATTTTCTTCATAGTCTTTATTTGAGAGAGAACGACTGAATTGGCCTACGGAACATTTCCACTTCCCGAAAGATGACTCGTCACTGTGTACTCTCGTTTTTGTTTACATTCGTCGTGTTGTTATTTTGTTCCGGTTCTACTTTTTTCTTTCATAACTCTACGGTGTCGCATTTGAAAGGCGTCCATAGCAAGATTGGCCTAAAGCTCACTATAATAATAATAATAATAATAAAATTAGATGTTAATTTTAAAGATTGTTGGTAATTTCCTTCTATGTTATATATGAAGTGTTTGAGAGGTTACTAAAGTTGCAAAATAAGGATTTATGTAGGCCTACATATTTTGTATAATAATTAAATCAAGAAGTGGTTTTGAAAATTACATCATATTATTTATACATGTGGGCCTACTAAAATGTCAATTGTGTTTATTTCTAAATACCAAGATCTTGCAAACTTCATGAAAATGACACTGATGAATAACTTGAACAAGACCCC